AAAATAAGAAGAATATAAAAAGCAAATAAAGTTGTTTTAATTGAGAGCGAAAGTGTCATACAACATAAGTTTTGCCAAGAATTTCGTGTCTTATAATGGCTACTGAGCCTACTATTTATAGATATACCTAGGAAAACAAGATCCTATGATCAAACCCCTCTTAAATGACAATACATGAGCCATTGATGAATATGTCGCATGCCATGAATGCAAATATTCTCTTCAACGACTGTCATTTAATGTTAGAGAATATTCTTCATTGAATCCTATCCAATGGCAAACATTCGAACGGCTCCCGTTGACCAGGCTCCTTTCGGTGTTTATCCGATAGCAACTATAGCTATTGTTCCGGGTACTGGTTGTTACGTGATTCGCCTTTAATTTATCTTTGGTTCCACGTGGCATGCTATCATTTGATCATTTATTACAAACCAATTTTACCCCATACATTGTCTATAAACCACATTATAAATTCAACTGTACTATTTTACGGATAAACAAAAAAGAGATGTAATTTTCATATTTGCAAATAAAAGTGACTATTAAACTGCCCGAATAAACTAAAAAATTGAACTGAACATACTATTTTTACACAAAGTTGATCCTACTTGAGCTTCTAGTGAAATAGTAGCTTAGAATGTGATTTAAGTGAAGATTTTCGAATCTTAAACTTTACTCACGAATTATGAGAAAATAATAAAAATAGTTCCTTATCTTTGCTAGTAAATTTAAAGTAGTCCCTCAAGTATTACTTGGGTAGTTTTAGCCCTATAAGTTTACCAAAAATGAGTATTTTTGGTCTCCATAGGATATTTATCAAACTCTAATTGTTACATTCAACTTAAACCGTGAAAAAAAAAAAGATTTGACCAAAAACACTAGAAAGTCCCTTCAAAATTCCAAAAATTACAACACAAAAAATTACACGAGACACAAAAAAAGACCAAAATAAAAAATTTGCACCTTAAGAGGTTGTACAGACTCCAGAAAGAGATAAAAAAATAGCTGAAATTGCAATAATTGCACTTCCAAAATGTGAGTTCCCGTTATATTTTCTTAATGTAATAATTAGAGTTTGTTAATATTTAATGGAGACAAAAAACACTTACTTTTGACAAACTTAAAGGATAAAATTGATTTACGTGATACTTAATGGACTACTTTGAACTTACCACCAATGATAAATAGTACTATTTTTGTTATTTTCTCATTAATTATCAACTTTTACAAAAAATTTATTCAAGTTTATGTCCAAACACTATTACAACAAACTTTAATAGAAACGAAAAATCAAACTACTGATGTTTTAAATTGCAATCTTTTGTTTTTTCTTTTTCAGTNTATATATATATATCAACTATTATTATTAAAGCAACCAAAAATATACATTTCCCAGGTGCTGTCGTCGCAATTTGCCCAAATGTTATGTTGCACAAATATGACCGTTACAAAGGAAGCCAGGAGAGAGAGATATATACTTCTATTCAAAAATTTACATTTTTAACGACTCCACAATTGCTACACCGTAAGCCATTCCCTCTCTCTTTCTCTTTCTCTTTATCTTTCTCTTTCTCTTTATCTTTCTCTTTCTTGGGGCATATACAGGCAGCAGAGGGGACATGGCGATTGCAGCGGAGACTCAGCCACAGCAACACAAGGTAACAATTTCTCACCAAATTATTAAGATAAATTTTATTTCCTATTAATTTTGTATCCATTAGGGGGCTAGTCACGGAATTTTAGCCAAATTGACTTATCAGCATTCTCTTATGTTCGATTTCCATGTTACGATGAGCTTGAATTTGACGAATTTGTGGAATCCCTTTTGGAGTAATAAATTTTTTTTTCTTTTTCATTTCTTATTAGGAGGTAGACAATTATTTTTTCCGATTTCATGATAGGTATTTGGAACAAAATTTAGTATAAATTGGCAATTTTGGGGTGAATTTTCAGTTAACTGAGATCTAAGAATTAGGTCTGTGGATCAGGGATTTCCCACGGGAAATTTTGACAAGCTATAGAACAAAATGGACTCGTTGACTTTCTTTAGCTCTCTTATTCATGGTTATGGAATTAAAAGAATTTTGCTGCTTTAACTTTATTCTATAGAAATATATGTTTTTTTTGTAAATTTTTCCTATTGTAAACTGGGTTGATTACAATTATCAACTTATGCAGGGTTCTTCTGAGGGCGCAGTGGTGGATAACAAGAGATGGACTGTCAATGATTTTGACATTGGAAAACCTCTTGGAAGAGGAAAATTTGGTCATGTATATTTAGCTAGAGAGAAAAGGGTTAGTGCATCAGAGTTCCAGTTTCAATATTGCATCAGAGTTCCAGTTTCAATATTCTAGATTATTGGATAATTATTAGTTTCAATTACTCAACTAATTACACTTTGCTAGTTGGTAATCCGACATATCTTTCATCCTCTGTAACATTGTTCAATGGGAATTTGTCTAGCATATGATCCTCATCATTCATCCTTCAGGGAAATCAAGGTTTTTTGGGTTATAAATAAAAAAAAGAAGTTATTTAATAGTACTACTTATTTTGATATTAGCTAAATTTGCTACTATTGTGTATGGGAAACTATTTGGATTTAAAAAGTCCTTTTCCCGTTGATCAATCGTTTTGGAATCCTCACATTCTACCTTTTTCCTGTCTCACTTCTTTATCTAAATTTAAGATTCACTCTACAAGTGACACTGTGGATAGTAAGCTTAGTTGTTTCTTGAAAACAGAGCAATCATATTGTTGCATTAAAGGTGCTATTCAAGAGCCAGCTGAAGCAGTCCCAAGTGGAGCACCAGCTTCGTCGTGAGGTTGAAATACAAAGCCACCTTCGACATCCAAATATCCTGAGACTTTATGGTTACTTTTATGATCAGGTAGAATTCTACAATCTAATGCTTTACTTGTTCATTTTGTGGACTGAAAAGAAGTTATAAGAGACTGATTATTGCATTATTATTGCAGAAACGGGTTTATTTGATTTTGGAATATGCTGCCAAGGGTGAACTCTACAAGGAGCTGCAGAAATGCAAATACTTTAGTGAAAGGCGTGCTGCAACTGTGAGTTCTTATCTTTTCTTTTTTCAATTAGGAGATTAAGAGAATTTGTGTCAGTTGGGAGAGCAACTAGAATTATATGGATCCTTAATATGTTATATGATTTCAACATGCTCTTCAATATACCTACTGTTATTAAATTGATCAAAGGTTTTAATTTGTTTTCTTGCGGCCATGGAACAGTATGTTGCATCACTGGCACGAGCCCTCATATACTGTCACGGGAAGCATGTAATACATAGAGATATTAAGCCAGAGAACCTTTTGGTTGGTGCACAGGTATTTATTAAGCATTTCATTTTATTCTTGCTTTTGCTGTAAAATGTGACTGAGCTTTTATTAACTTCAATTGCTCATGGTTTCTACTTTTAGGGTGAACTCAAAATTGCAGACTTTGGTTGGTCAGTACACACCTTCGATCGCAGACGAACTATGTGTGGCACTCTAGACTATTTGCCACCTGAGATGGGTATGCACGTTATACCAGATATAACTTCATGTTTGCATTGCCTGACACAAATATTCTTTTCTCCAAGTTGCTTTGTGCTAACCTTCACATGGCCTGCATGATTATTTATTAAAGCAAAGCCTAACTGAATTAAATTAGTGATGGTTGTTTGCTGAACATTGCAGTGGAAAGTGTGGAGCATGATGCAAATGTGGACATTTGGAGCCTTGGTATCCTTTGCTATGAATTTCTATGTGGGGTGCCTCCATTTGAAGCAAAGGAACACTCAGATACATATAGAAGGTAAATCTTCTCAACAAGTGGAAACCATTAAGAGTTGCTTTATATGAGAAATGTAAAACTGAAAATCAAAAGAGATAAAAGGTCATATTTTTGGAAGACTTGTAAAGTTCACACACAAGGGAAATAGCTTGTAAATACTATTGCCAGCATAATCTTTGTGCTGATGAATAAATTTGTTACCATTCTCAAAAAATAAAGAGATGGTCATATTGGTTTTTGGATTTAGCTAGCAAAACAAGCAGTACCAAATGAAACATTGTTGCTGTTATTAAACATCCTGGTTTGTGATGGTGTGCAGGATTGTGCAAGTGGATCTAAAATTTCCTTCCAGACCGGTAGTCTCATCAGCTGCAAGGGATCTTATTAGTCAGGTTATTTTCAAAATTATCCAGCTGCTTTTCAATTTTGCTACACTTATGTTTCAGCTAGACTAATTCTTTAAATCAATATTATGGAATAGCAGATGCTAGTCAAGGATTCTTCCCAACGTCTGGCCCTGAAAAAGTTACTCGAGCATCCTTGGATTGTGCAGAATGCAGATCCTTCTGGTGTTTATAGGGGTTGAGTACATCTTCTCACAAGTTCCAATCTTGGGCATACTATTATTCTTTATATTTTTTAAGAAGCTTTTAAAACATTGCCATGTAAAATAATCAAGTTGCTCGCATGTTACCTGAAAATGAGAAGAACTACCTTACGAGTTTGTTATGTAGCCAAAAGTTTTTTGTTTTTTACATTCTTTTCTATATTTATGTGTATCTGTCATTCTTTTCTGGCCATTTGGATATTTGTTTTTTCAATTCCCCTAACGTGATCAGTAAAAAGCAATTAACTGAGTCACCATCCTACAAATATTAGTATTAGTTTGTTTTTTATCAACTGACTGAAAATATCAAGAGTACTACACCTCAATCCCAACCCCAAACAAGTTGAGATCCACTACATGAACCCTCATTCAAGCTCAACTCATGTCATCATCATAACAAATACAAATAAAAATAAGTAAAAATATTAAAAATAATATTAAAGGTTCATTTCTAATAAAAAGCTGGCAATTAAAGAAAATACGTGCATCTCTTAGTTATATCTCGAGTTACATCATATGCTCTCTTTGGACTTGGCACTTCTAATTAGCCAAATGATCTTTTATTTCTGAGAGAGCGAGCGCATAACACATCTCATAACGCATCTATTGCTCATTTCTGCCAACGTCTCATTACAGATTTCAAGTGATATCCAGACACGTTTATCATTTATGTGCGCACCCATATTTCCTCACTATTTAAATTTTATTACAAAGTTTTCAAAAAAAAAGTCTAATTTAATTTCAGAAATTAGCACTCTAGATGAATTAGCAATTCATCTGTTACTGCCCACAGCTGAGGCAGACCCAAAAACTTTCAAATAAGTTCATGTGACTGTTTTATCTGGCACAATGGTAGGCATCAAAGCATCAAAAGTTAACAACAGAAGAACCACTGCACAGGCAAATGATGAAAACAAGAGTTACTTTAGTGGCATGTAAACTGTAAAGTGTGTTATTTCGTGCCGTCCTGGAGTCTTAGTGACCTGAGTTCTCATGTACATTGTTATCCCCATCCAACAACTGAGTTTGCGGCTGCTCCTCATTTTTAACCTCTTCAACATCTTTCGGGCACAAGAAGCTTGGCTGATTGGTTGACGAAAGAAGACGTGCCCACATCCTGTCAGTTATAACCACCATATTTTGCTTCTCGGTTATACGCTGCACACAAAAATGTTGGTTAAACATATAAGATGGTGCATCCATGGAAATAAGAATTCAATGGCTTTAAACCTTCATGGCAAATCAAATGCCCTTTTTGGAACCTGATAGTTTGACAGAATTACTTTAAGTTCCCCATTTCATGAACCAAATCAAAGCAGGGTAGGTGACGAACGGAGGTGCTAAATACAGTACGCTTGGAATTGTAATAGTGGTGTTCATATCGGTTATTATAAGTGATATTAGAAAAACAAAGATGCATTATTTCCCTAAATCTCGAAAAAAGAACAAACCACCCTGACCTTCCTTTTGAGGAAAAGACATGCATGAACTCCCCACTACAGACATGTAGAGACTAAGGCATTCAAAAACACTAATATACTTGTGGGATGCTTTTATTTTTTGGAAAGGAAAAGAAAAATTGATAAGGAAGTGGGATGCTTTTATTAATATCATAGAAATACATCTTTTTTCCAAATTAGAACAAAATTTTCCGGTAACTGGTTTAACATGTTGAAAGTCTCTGGAACAGTCTCTCCTGAAATTAGGAAAACTTGGGAAAAACTAAACAATGAGTCCAAATGTGCATATGGCCGGAGAAGTGATCATAAAGTAGAAAATAGAAAGAATTTAAGAAACAGTTGCATCCTTGACCTAAAATGAGAATTTCAGCTATTGACCCAGAAGCTGATAAAGAAAAGCACCTATGAAACTGAGCATAAAATGCCAGCAGAATGTTCTTAAAGGCACCCATAGCTCATGAGGTGTGTCTTCACATGTGCCTAGAGAAGAGCGGATGCCTAACTGTCTCGAGGCAGTCAAATGAGATGAAAAACCTGGGAGATTTTTCACCTTTTGCCAACTCTCACGTGCCTACTGCCTGGTTTTTTTCCAAATGCAAAAAAGAGGATGTTCGAAAGGGTAACCTTAGGATGTTTATTAGTAACCAACATCTTATGTGCATGTTAAGGAAACATGGAAATCATATGTTGTTTAGCGCCAAAAATTAAAAAAATAAAACATTGTGGGAGTAACCTAAAATTTTGAATTTTCATGGTTTTCAGTATTTTTTATACTTTTTTCCATCGTTAAGCAGTTTAAACAATTAAAGCCGACAAAATAATAATAGTTAAGATCCGCATGTCATTCACCCTTAACCCTTCAAGCCTTGCCTTACACATTCCCTTAGAGAGCTCTGGGAGTTTGGCAAAGTAGTTGTTATCACTAGCAGCGAGACCTCAAAAGTAGGACTCCGAGAGGTACAGGTATGGAAATTGTCAAGATCATGTCCGTCAAAAAGACAGCCAAGATTCCAGAAGAAAGCTAAACAAGTGAACACAGAACAACTTACATTGAATGGAATATAAGTCTGGCGACCGTTGACAAGCCCCGAGGTGTAACCTGTGTACCCTGCCATTGCTCCATGAACACAACTTTGAGCAAGAAGCGTGCAATATACATTGTCAGAGGCATTACTTGGAACAGCACGAATCATGTAAGTGGGATCTGGAAAAAGCTTTAATTAGCTCGATATATTTCGCAACAAATCAACTAATTAAGATGGTTGGAATTTCATACCTATATATTTAAGAGTAATGGCCATCTTGGGCTTTTTAGCAAAATGATCCTACAACAAGAAAACAAAGCTGTGAGTATAACAGAAAACAAGACAACATAGATTCCTCTTTAATTCAACCCAACCGTGACTTTTCCATGGACTCTGCCATTTTCCACAGTTTCGGATAACGGCAATGTTTTAAAAGTGACACTAATGTAAGACTTCTGCAGATCGCTCATCAGGGTGCTTTGCACCATGAAGCTAGAAAATTTTCATCAGTGCAATTAGGCATTAGCTTAACCATAAAGCAGAACGTTCAACAAAAATGTTGTAGTTCCAGCCACTTTAAATCATCTACACCAACACACAATTCAGTTTTGATAGATGAGTAGATAACTGTAACATATTCAAGAATAAATACCTAGTAACAAATAAATTTGATTAATGCATTGGCTATTTTCTTTTAACTTAAATGGCATCGTCTTCATTAGAGGCATGTGCCTATTAGTGTTAATGTGGTTATCATATGGTAGGAGTAATTATGTGGTACAAGTTCTTCCTCCTTATTTAAATCCGTAGATAAATACTTTCCATCTTTCTAGAAACAAGGTAGAAGTTGAACATTATACTCCTTTATTGGTTGGAATTAATTTGACATTTAGACTGCACCCAAGGGTGTGGCCTAGTGGTCAATGAAGTGGGTGAGAACCATGAGGTCTCAGGTTCAAATCCCAGCGGAGGCAAATACAAGGTGATTTCTTCCCATCTATCCAAGCCTTGGTGGATAGAGTTACCCGGTACCTGTTGCTGGTGGGAGGTGGCAGGTATCCCGTGGAATTAGTCGAGGTGCGCGCAAGCTGGCCCGGACACTACGGTTATCAAAAAAAANNNGTTATAAAAAAAAAAAAAAAATTGACATTCAGACAATGAACATAGCACTACTGTCAAGACAAATCTGCATGCCCAAGTGGAGACAAACACACCTACAGACAGACGGGACAGGCAGATATTTCTCGGTTTAACAAGAACTTAAAAAGGGAATTCATGAGTTTTACAACCATTACCCTGATTTTCTGGGAAATCCACAAACCAACATCTTGGAGAAGCTTGTTCCCTGAAGCATCTTGTTCGTTTTTGGCAAGCGAATTTTCTGCTGCAAGAAGTTCTTGTCCTGCTCCTTCGGCTATCACAATAACCATGTGCCCATTTTCTTTGAGCCGTTTCTCGATGTATTCGTATAATCCACCATCTCCTTCAAGATAAAAGGGCGACTCTGGAATTAAACAGCAATCAACATCTCTGCTCGCCAAAGTGGCATACATTGCGATGAATCCTGCAACAAAAAATCAAGAAATTTGAAATAAGCCTGGAAAAGTTTGAAAAGAAAAGCATTGACAAAATAACTTTTCAGGGAGTATTATTTTATTGAAAAGCAACTTAACAGGGCATTGTCTCTGAGATCACTACAAATTATAAGTTATGCTCCACATGAAAATGATTATCCTAGAGGTTAGACAAACTCACTTTATTATTTTTTTACCTATTAATGCTTCAATCCATCTAATGACCAGCTTCTGCAACTACCAAAATGAGAAGAGCTATTTTCTTTTAAGAGCAAGATTAACTGACACTGTGTAAGAGATGTTATGCAGTAGAGACGAACAAAAAAATGCTCTTCATGAGAACTTGGAAAGAAACAGTCCAAGTTCTCCATGCTCTTCATGGCGGATAGTTTGGAAGGAAAGGAATGCCAGGTGTTTTGAAGACAGAAGCAGTCCTATTCAGAAGTTAAAGATGAATTGTATTCTGTTGTTTCACTTCTGGTGTAAGAAAAATTATGTGAATGATGAAGAATCGATTTTAGTCATCATAGAATACTTGTAAGAAGAACAAGGATAGGTTCTGGCTTCTTTTGAATCTGTAAATGATTACCAGCACAACCTTTGTGCTGGGTTTCTTTTTTTATAATACATAACTGTTACCTTTATCCAAAAAAAAAAAGGAATTTGGAAAGAAACTTGTCATAAGTCATAACTAGGCTATAGGCATTGTGTAATAAAATTTCAAGGTGCACAATACCACTATAGCGCCCCATTAGCTTCACCACACCAATACCATTCTCAGCACTTTCAGCTTCAACGTGAGCTGCATTTATGGCACGTTGAGCCTCCTCTACAGCAGTATCAAAACCAAATGACTTGTCAATGACCTGAAAACATAAACAAGTTTTATTTATTTTAATGAAGAGCTCTCTATTAACGTGAAATTGCATCGATCAAATACGAGTTGGAACTCTCAAAATGAGGCTTTTGAAGACATTACATCAAGTAATGTGCTGCGGAATACATTTATGTTTCCCACTTGCAAGAACATAAAACTGTACTTCCTGAGATAATTAAACTGTTTATTATATGAAATAAAGGAAAAAAATCATTTGGTATATGAAGAGATGAAAATTACAGGAATATCATTATCAATCGTCTTGGGGATCCCAGCAACAACTACTTTGAGACCACGCCGCCTAATTTCCTGCAAAATGGTAGTAGGATTCTCCAATAAGCTTCCCAGAGGATAAGTACTATTTCATCAAATGAAGTATTGAGTACACCCAAAACAAGGACCATATCATGAGTCAAAATCAGATGCTATGATGTATAAAGTGAACCATATACAAATGGCTGCTTCGCTACTATTGGCAATAAACACCTTGAGATCTAATTTTCGAAAACCATACGGAAGCCACATGAAAATTTCAAGAGGAAAGCAATCTCCTGGAAACTATTAGGCTGATATGCAAAGGCCACCCAAGTCATCCAAACTTAATAGAATTATATTGGCATATATAGTGTTCAAGAACTGAGTAAGATGTCGACATGTAATACGCGCAGTATAAGATAACTTGATTAAAGAGATTGTTAAGTGATTCAAAATCACCTCAACAACCTAATAAAAGAATTGGTTTTCATAACTTTTAGCAAAGAGTGTGAAAAGGCTCAGCACCATGAACACCTTTTGCCCTCTTATTTCCAGGAACTAACATACCTCATATATTACAGCTGCTCCTTTCTGAGTTCCATCACCACCGATTATATAAACCTGGACGAGTAAAAAACAAGTTATAGCCAGTCTAAATTTATTAAGTGAAAAAAACATCACTGAAAGACATTTTGAATGAGATATAAGGTTTGCCTCAGAGGACGCTGACTTGTGATGATAAAACAATTTCAACCCTAAAGATCATATAGTTTGTGACAAAACTCTCTCTCTCTCTCTCTCTCTCTCTCTCTCTCTCTCTCTACATACACACACACACACACACACACACACACACACATAAGGTCTTTTGCTTGAATAGAACATTCATGCTCACAGAAGCTCAACTTTCTTCGCCCCTAAAGAAGATTTTCATTACAAGTATGCTTCTTTGTTCATTAATAAGCAGCTTTTGCAGAAGGTTGGAAATATCATAGCTGAACGACAAAGGATGAAAGCAGAAAATGTATCTACCCATTTACCACACCTGTTTCTGTACAACATATCCCAAAAAAGTAACAGCAACACTAACAACACCTGTTTATGGACAATTTCGCACTAGAGGTACCTGATTAATTCCACGATCCTGTATGCTGTCAACAATCTTCGTGGTATCATGGCCTCCTCGTGATGTTCCAAGAATTGTACCACCACGTTTATGAATGTCATTAACAGTCTTTGGTGTCAAAGTGATGATATTCTTTGAATAGAAACCCCTGTAACCTCCCTTTGAAAAAGAAGTACAGTATCAGTTGCCAATGAAGTCCCATACAAACCTTTGCCAAGGGGAAGCTGGGAAAACAGAATTAAAGAAGTAAACACATACGGTGCAATCTCAATCTCCAATTGTCAAATGTTAATATTTAATAGTCAAAAAAGTCAAGACATAGCAATAGGGATCTGTTTTAATATCTTCACTTCCCACATGTAGCAAATTGGTGGCCTTTTACCAGATGTCACAGTAAATGATAAGAAGCAATCCAACAGAAACACCTCAATTTACAATATCTGGCTTACTCACTTTAGGACAATGCTTTCAAAGATATCTCAAGTCATGGAGCCCCCTGTGTTTTACATCATCAGTTTATGTTGGCCCACAACCCGAATCCAAAAGAAAATTTTATATGGCAGTACAAGAAGCTAGAAGCAACATTATTCCGTAAACTTTTTTATAATTTACTTGAAAGTTGTACATTGTTAGCATCTTAAACGCTGATGAATGACAAGTGTTGCTCTGACAGCATGCTGGGTTAAAAAGATTCTTTTTTTTTTTTGAAATGATAACAGGTTTCATTGATATATAGATAAATCTCAGCGCCAAGATAGTGTTGAGAGAAAAGGTCCCTAGTTACAAGACTTCCAAAAACTAAGAGATTGATGAATAAAAACAAGTGGTGAAAAACAAGTCCTGTGGCATTTACAAGGACCCGATGAGATCAACCAGGGAATCTGCATCTTGTACTAAAGCTTCTTTACACCAAAAGTGAAATAAAGATATACAATTCATTTTAATCTTCTGTTCAGGATTTGCTGAGTCTTCAAAACATCTGGAGTTCCTTTCCAGCCAGATAGTCCACCAAATGCATGCTGGAATGAGACTCCACCACCTCTTCTGGCTGCTTCCTGTAGCTAAAAAGTCCCAACTAGACAGCAAGTCCATAGTCTCTCTAGGCATCACCCAGCTTAAGCTTAAAGCTGCCACAATCTATTGGACACCTGACAATGAAGAAATAGATGATTGTTTGTTTCGATGGCCCTTCTGCACAGAAAACATCTGGAGCACAGAGGCATTCCTCTCTTCATTAAACTCTCGTGTGTCAGAACTCAGAACAGCCTGTTTGACCACTAGCCAGCAAAACACATTAACTTTTAAAGGGACCTTCAACCTCCAGATGTGCTTCCATATCCAAGCCTCTTGTTGCTGCGAACTTCTGTTTAAAACCTCATATACAAATTTCACAGTGAAAACTCCTTTGCTATTGTTTTTCCATAACAGTTTGTCCACTTGCTCAGTTGAACCTTTGAAGTTTTCCAAAAGTTTCAGAAGCTCAATTACTCTGATCACCTCCCAATCATTCAGAAATTTTCTGAATCTTAAATTCCAGCCTTGCTGACTCCAGGTATCAGCAATAGAAGCATCTGGCTGTTGCGCTAAAGAGTATAGATCACCTCCCAATCATTCAGAAATTTTCTGAATCTTAAATTCCAGCCTTGCTGACTCCAGGTATCAGCAATAGAAGCATCTGGCTGTTGCGCTAAAGAGTATAGATCAGGGAAACTGTCTTTTAGTGGAGTATTCCCTATCCAAACATCCTTCCAGAAGAGAGTTTTTGCACCATTGCCCACGTTTATGCATGAATTGCTCATTAGGTTTTGCCAGAGAGATCTAACAGATCTCCACACACTCACACCATAAGGGCTAGCCACTGTACCTGAGCTCCACTGGCCTTCAGTCCCATATTTTCCACATATCACTTTTCTCCATAGGGCGTGTTCCTCCAATGGGAATCTCCATAGCCATTTCATAAGTAGGCTCTTGTTATGCTGCCTCAAATTTCTGATTCCCAATCCACCTTCCTTCTTGCTAGTCGTGAGAGTTTTCCATTTAACTAGATGGTAGCCTTTTTTCTCTTTATTCCCATGCCATATAAAGTTCCTCCTCAAAGCATCAATCTTTTTCTCAACACTAACAGGTAGTGNTCTTTATTCCCATGCCATATAAAATTCCTCCTCAAAGCATCAATCTTTTTCTCAATACTAACAGGTAGTGGAAAGATTGACATCATGTAGGTGGGAAGGGAGTCTAGTACACTGTTGACTAGTGTGACCCTCCTTCCCAAGGACAGGTAATTGTTCTTCCACCTGGATAACTTCTTTTCACACCTTTCTAGAACCGCATTCCATATTTGCTTGGACTTGCTCTTTGCACCTAGTGGTAGCCCCAAATAGGTGGTAGGAAGAGATCCCACTTCACATCCTAGGGATCCAGCTATTCTTTAAGGATCTGTGACCTCATTAACTGTGAAAATCAAGGATTTACTCCAGTTCACATGTAAACCTAGAGGAGGCCATTGACTTATTGGTTAGAGCATAAGTACCCTAGAGGAACTTTCTTACTCGTGGTTAGAATGTCCCTTCAGTTAAAAGTGCCAGTTGTAGTTTCCTTTAACATTGTATCAAAGTTGAAGCCATTCCTAATGTTGGAGTACCCAATGTTGGGTCTCCCATGTTATAATCCACGCTCCACATGTCTAGCCCCTGCCATGTCGGCTGGAGTGTTAGAATCCCACATCGGTTAGTTTATATGTATAAGTTGTGTCTCCTTATATAGCCTTGGCCAATTCTCACCACTTGAACTACCTTTCGGGATTGAGTTAAACCCAAGGTTTATTTTTTAAACACTCGTAAAATGTCAAACATAACAACTTAATTATGCCTTAAGTTTCTTTAAGCATTAGTTCACCCCACCCCCCACCCCACCCCATTTTCTTTTGACAGCTAAAGTATTTCTATTCAGAGTTGAAGCAAACTGATGCTAAAAAAAAAGAATATATAAATATAAAGAAGTAAACTGATGCTATGGAAAGTTAAACAAGTACAAATAGATGCAACTGGATCCCCTCCCCTTGCAATCAACTAACTGTGCATACATCAATTACTTCTGTAAGAGGCAAATGTCTAATCAAGCATAAAGTTGAAGTTCAACCAACTCACATCTATTCCAAAGACTTTGCTGACCCCATACATATAATCAAGGCTATGTACAATTTCTCTGATCACAGTGTTTAGCCCTGGGCACAAACCACCACAAGTTACAATACAAGCACGAACATCATCCGAACTGAAGTACACCTGTGCATCAAGAAGCATGCTTCTCAGTGAAAAAAATTGCATTCATACTTCTACTGATTCACGGAAAAGAGAGAGAGAGAGGAGAAGAATTGCATCCTGCCCCCCTCTAGAGGAAAGTACATACCTTCTGACGTGGACCAGCCCGGCGGAAATGCACCCCTCTTGCACTGTCCTTGTGAACGACAACCTGGACAGAGATTTGAACATTACTTCAAGGAAGAGGAGGAATCAAAAGAACTCTCTCTAATACAAGTTTCTCTGATACCTAAATGGAAAGACAAGCTAGCATATTTCATGAAAGAAAACATAATAACGCCCTATTAAGATTTCTTCGCTGACATCTCATCTCGGAAACTACAGAAAAGACTAAAGAATTGAAAAGGAGTGCAAACTAACCAGTAACCATTCTGAAAGAGTTAGATCAGCATATTGTTTTTCTGTACCTTTCAGCTATTTCAGCTATATCATGGAGTCAATTCTCAAAATTTTGACATATACTTCGATTTTGTTCATTATTTAAGCATTCCATTAATCCATTTCAAAATTTAAACTGTTTCCTGAGATGTCACTTTTGGCAAGGATGGAATAACAAAGTTTTCATATGTCAGACAGAACAGCTAGACAGGTCAAATTCAACAAAATATGGGATCTTCTGTTTTCCAAAACCAAGAACGATGTGAAATGGTCTTCTACTCTAGCTTTCGAGATATTCCTAAGTACCTTCTTTGAATCATCTGCACTATCAGGATAGCAAAATTTAGAGTCCTAAGACCAGCTTTCTCAAGATTCTATGTAGCTAAATGTAATTTCTCTCAGTATTTCAATTGTACATTGAAATGAAGATGGGTGTAAAAGAGTTTCTTTGCAGAGAATTTTAGACCCATGGAACAAGTTAAGAAGCAGGACTCGCCTTTTGGGGGACAGTATCATCCATGTCAACAAAGTACTGCCTGAAACCACAATGAAAGTTCATAAGTTGTTATGGATGAAATGCACAAATAATGAACTGTAGAATAACTGCAAGCATGACAAAAGAAATTTTTGATGATTGAACTCACTTCACAACTGAATATGCAGGATTTGACCGCAATGGGTTGTCATAAGTCTGGAATTGAGCAACAAGATGAAAAAGAAGGTCAATTAGTAAATATCAGCATCCGGTACAACAGAATGTCGGCAGTATAAAATAGGTAATTTTATTGTAATAAAATAGGTACCATCTATAAGAGACAAAATTGAACCGTCTATTGCCAACAGTAACTAAGAATAGTAAGTCAGTAAGGCTACATGCTAGCATGCAAGACTGCTTAAAAAGATGACGAAATGGAGCAATTCTTTCCAAAAGCAAAATACAGACTGCATGAGTTTCTCCAACCATACGATTGAATTGACAATAGGAAAGAAAACAAAGGAGAATGATGGCAAGGATATGGTTTTTTGTCTTAGAATTCGTTTATGGACCGAAGGAAGAACAGATAGAATAAAAGATAATTTCCTTTGAAGTGAACCAGATACTCTGCATTCCAACAAAATCTGGTCTAAGCACTTTTGTCCACAACAAAATTGCAGAAATCTCGAAAACGTTCTGTAAATGAGTGCAAGTTCACACGTCTAACAATTGTCCACCAACAACTGACTACAATAAAACAAACCCTAGTCTATGTTAACTTGATGTCTCTTGTTTGTCGACACAAAATTAAAATTTTAGATAGCATCTACCGGCTGTGCTAAGCACCAAACTGCGGACGCCCCAAAAACATCTTTTTACATAAATGCCAGTTCAAACAACTATTCATCCACCAACACGTCAGACTGTAGTGTGTGCCCTCATCAAGAAAGCTATGAACTCCTTCGTCTAGCGGACCACCTAAAACTTTCAGAGAACAGAACCAATATCTTAATTTTCATAAGCCTGTTTTACCTTTTATCTTTTTATACCAATGTTGTCACATAACAATAGAGCAGAAAATTCCCCTTTTCTTTTCATAAAAGGACATCTGATTGTATCTCCTAGTCCTAGGTTCTAACATACTTCGTCAATAGCCCCATTATCATTTCCCGCAGAGAACCTTACATAGTAAAATCCAGAAACTACTCATGTTCTGCCAACTGTGGGAGAACATGCGTACTTTATGGAACCATAATTCTGTATACAAGTCCATGACATTTATAAGTTATCAATATATTTCAAAAATGAATCGCCAATATTAGTGCACGGCATTAAGTTTACAACAACATAGAACATATTCCTAACTGTTATTCAAAAGGGAAAGAAAATGACAGAGGATACAATTTTTTCTTTTATTCCTTTTTAAAAAAATTGTTGGACAGGGTGGACGGATCAAGCTAGTCACGCTTTAACTTTCATTTTCTTTACTGTTGTAACTGAGAAATCCGTTGCTCCCTTCGAAAGTAAGGGGCGGAGGCAGAGTGTAGATATTATGTGTTAAGAAATTCACTAAATATGTACAATAACAACAACAATTAAGCCTCAGTCCCAAACAAGTTGGGATCGGCTATATGAATCCTCACTGACCCTGTTTCTCCATTTAAGCTCAATTCATGTCATCGTCATATTAAAAAATCCACTAAATATGTAACAATATTAAATTTTGAACAGAGCTACTAGCACTTAGGGGTTGCTGTCCTAGAATCACGAACTCATAAAGCTCAAATCTTGGATCCAGCTATGCTATAAGTAATGTCCCTTAACTCTACTCTTCACCACTTAAATACCATATACTCGTTCAACAGCTAACTCGTGAAGTTTGCTTACCACACATCCCGCTACAAGCTGACCCGACACCACCCTTACGAAAAATAAAATAAAAAATTGGAGAAGGTGGATCGATCAGGTGGGAGAAACAGGCAAACAGCATAATGATGCCATAATTAACAAAAACAACCAGTTGACATTATGAAATGAGAAATCAAACGAATAGAGATTCAAACATACATCTAAATACATGCATATTCAAAATTATTATTTAGACAGAGAAAAGTGAAAGGAATTACAGGAAGATCAGGGATGTAATCAGTCAAGTGAGGAACATCTTCAAGCACATAACCATAATCCCCTTTCACCACCTTCATCTGGTAATTACTCTCTGTACCCATCTTCGAAATATACAAAATAAATACTCCTTCAATGGAGATTTAAAGGGTATTCTGAAAAGAGAGTAACAAAATACAATAAGTTTATATGTTAGATTCGAGTCAACCGAAGAAAAGGGAGATTGGTTTTTTGGTTCATGTAAGAAGAAATTGGAATATAGTATAGTGAAGAAAATGGGGGAAAAGGGACAGTGAGTGTAATAATAAAAGGTGGTTAACAGTACAGCACGTGAATTGGGGATTCCTCCTTCACCACGTAATAAATAAAAAGTGAGTGCAAATTTTCAAAAAGGAAAGTAAAAAACCTGAAGACTGGGCCGGTTGTTTTGGGAAGGCATGAAAACAAACGGCTTCGAGAGTGGTCGGCTGGCATTTATCATATCAACTTCATGTTTTTTATTTTGGGGTGTACTTTGTGAATTTAGTCCTCCAAAAGAGTTAAAATTTAAATTAGGCTGAATGGTCTAAATGACACATGTACTTGTGACACTTTATATGCCGGTTCCAAACTTAAAAGTTTGTCAATTGAACACTTACACTCATTCAAACCGTAAATAATAAACGCTTATGACAGGACGTTGTCAGGCTGTGTAATACAAACGTCTACACGTTGGACGCCACGTCAATAAAATTAAACCACGTAGGCNAATTACCCGCATAGTTAGGGCTTAGAAAGTATCGAACAACAGTGAGTCTCTCCTCTCTTCTCCGCCATCGTTGCCGGGATTTTCATCATTGCAGTTGATATCGAAGTTTGTGGGGTAAGTTTCTTTATCTGTTCTTCATATTTTGTCTTTATTGATCTTTATTTCTCTCAATATATGGGGCTTTTGCTCCGTTTAGGGTTTTTAGAGGAAGACTGAGTTATGTCATAATTGTTGTTTAGTTTTCCTCAATATATGGGGCTTTTGCTGTGTTTCGTTACATGTTGGAGTGAAATCCCTTTTTAATGTAGTGTCATGCATGTAATGGCATATTTGGTTATTCCGTTTAGTTTTTGGGTTTTTTTGCAAAGTAGAATTTCATCTTAGGTTTATGCATTTTTTTTGTGAAGTTTGTTGGGTCTCCTTCTTGTTAGTGGTTCACCAGAGTATTTTTGAATATTATAAGGTATTGTGGGGATGAAAAAGGAATCTTGGAAGCTTTTTTACTTAAAAATCAGTCTTTTTTGTTGGTTTGTTTATGGAGTTGTGTAAAGGTGCAATTTTTGATAACAAATAATAATTGATAACACTGCTTTTTTTTGTTACTTTGCAGGTATGAGAAGAAAATGGCTTCAAGCCTAGTTAACCTACAAATCCACCACAGTGGTAATTTTGTATCGGACCCTGACCTAAGGTATGCAAATGGACTACTTTGTCCTCAATTAGCTACAGTTGATGTTGATGAGCTGCATATTATGTTGTTTCACAAGTTTGCTAGGGACTTAGGATTTTTAGAAGTTGATTTGTTTGGATGCAAAGTTAACAAAAGGGGTGGTTATTACATTTTAAAAACAGATGCCGATGTGTTAAAGTTTCTTAATACATTGAAAGGTGGTGACTTTACTGATGTTTGTATTGTCCATAATAGTGAGTTAAATGTTAGGGCTGATGTGTCACCTCCTAATAAATAGGACTGAAAATGACAAAGACAAGGGTAAAGAGACAGATATAAATGGAGAGATAGAAGAATCAGATGAAGGTGAAGGTAATAACTTCTCATCCTATCACCTTCAAACATCATAATCTGATTTTGATGAGGACTTTGATGATTCTGAAGGGTCTGACTCACTGTTTGAGATAGATGAGAATATTGAAGAATGTAGTGATTTGGAAGATGATTTAGTTGAAATTATACAGTCTAAAATCAACAGAAAGAAGGATGCCCAAGTAAATATAGATGAGATACCATATGGTCAAGTTGGTATAGATTCTGGTTTTGAAGATATGCATAAGAATAAAATGGGAAAATATGAAGGGAAACTAGGAGGGGATGACCAATATTTTGATAGCTTAGATCCAGGTAGTGAGTGTAGTGATGATGAAAGAGAACTTGTTGGCACTGATGAAGTAAGGGATGCACCAGCTAGGAATCCAAGTAAAAAGGTCTACTTTGACACAAGTTGCAAAAAAATATTATTTGAACTGTATATAATATTTGAGAATGTTGTACAGTTTAGGAAGGCATTGCAGACATATTCTATTCAAAAAGGTGTGAACCTTAAGTTGAAACCGAATGAGAGGGAAAAGGTTAGGGCAAACTGCACAAAGAAAGGTTGTCCATGGCATATCCTTGGCAGCATAGAAAGTAGCACCAGGAATTTTAGGGTGATTACATACTACCCTGTCCACAAATGCTTCAAGAAGACAAGGAACAAGATGTGTAACTCACCATGGATTACAAATAACTTCAAAGATAGAATAATTAGTGAGCCTCAAATTAAGCTTCATCAAATTCAAGCCTTAATTAGGAAAGCATATGGTCTGTATGTGAGTAAAACTTCCTGCAGGAGAGCAAAAATGATAGTTATGAAGGAAAATATGGGTGATTATAAGAAATAATTTGCTAAGCTTCATGATTATGCAGAAATGCTAAAAGTCTACTAATCCTGAAACTACTGTAGTGATAGGGACATCTAAAAATGCAGAACCTGGCAAGGAGGTGTTTATGGGCATTTATGTCTGTCTTGAAGCATTAAAAACTGGATGGTTAGAAGGGTGCAGAAATATAATTGGCTTTGACGGTGCATTCCTAAAGGGAACATGTAAAGGTGAACCGCTTTCATGCATTTCCAAGGATGGAAATAATCAAATGTACCATGTGGCTTGGGTAGTAGTTGAAAAGGAATCAAAGGATACATGGTCTTGGTTTATCAGATATCTTAAGCATGATCTAAACTTGACAGAATCTGAAGGAGAAGGACTGATAGTCATGTCTGATATGCAGAGGGTATGGTTTCTAACACTTTGTCTTTAAAGTGTAATTATTTTCATTTATGTTTAAGTTATAACAATATAATGTTGTTGATTGTAGGGTCTTTATCTAGCCATAACTCAGTTATTGCCAAATGCTGAGATGAGGTGGTGTGCTAGACATATCTGGGCTAATTGGAAGCAAACTTGGCTTGGTGAGGAAAGAAGAAAAAAATTCTGGCAGTATGTAAGAGCTACATTTGAAGTTTACTTTAGCAAAAAGTTGGATGAAATGGACCAGCTGGGGGGAGATATTGTTCAAGACTTACTGAAATACAACAAGGAGACATGTTGTAGGGCATAATTCAAAGAACATAGTAAGTGTGATGTAGTGGAGAACAACATGTGTGAGATATTTAATAGTTGGATATTGGTAGCTAGGCACAAATCTATCATTACTATATTAGAGGAAATTAGAATCAAGTGTATGGAGAAGATGAATAGCATGAGAGAGTTTTCTGGAAAATGGATAGGTCATATATCACCCATGGCTATGAAAATACTTGGAGAGAATGCTCAAAGGGCAGCCAAATGTAAAGTCAAATTTAATGGTGAAACAGGGTATGAGATCCAGGATGGACCATATAAACATGTTATTGACTTTAGGAGGTGTTCCTGTACTTGTAGATCATGGCAACTCAAAGTAATTCCATGTGCACATGCAATTACAACAATGCATTATAAGAACTATGAGGTTGGGCCATATGTTGACCATTGGTATAGGAAGGACACCTACCTTAAGGCATACATCAGATTCATTCAACCTTTAACTTGTATGAATTTGTGGCCAAAAAGCACACTGCCAGCTATTGAGCCACCTGTTATAACTGCAATGCCAGGAAGGCCAAAGAAAAAAAAGGAGAAAAGTTGTTGATGAACCAAAGAAGAAGTTTGGGAAGGGTTCAAGGATAGGGAGACAAATGAGATGTTCTTTGTGCAATACTCTTGGACATAACAAGAAAGGATGTCCATCAACAGTAAATATTAATATTCTTTGTGGTCATTATCAGATGAATTCAATTACTAGTATTTGTTTTGTTATGTGTATGCAGAGAAACCAAGGGGGAAGGGCTGGAACTAGTTCAGTTGGAGGTGAAACTGCTAAAAATGCTTCATCAACAACATCAGGTGGAAGGGCTGGAACTAGTGGAAGTGCATCAACAACATCAGCTAGAAGTGCATCAGTAGCAGCAGCTGGATCAACAACATCAGCTTTAAATATGGAAAGTGGCATCTTCACTCAACCAATCACTGATCCAAGCACACAACAATCAACTAATGTTGCTAGAGGTCCAAAAAGGAAGACCAATGAACCTAGAAGAGGTGATGACCTGAGGTAGCTCCATAGGACTTAGACTGATTTTAAGGGCTCGGTTATTTATACTATGCTTAATTATTACTAAGGCAGGACTCACTATATACTAAAGGGAATGCATAAGACTTAAGAAGGGTGTAGAATTATAAAAGAATTATTGAAGGTTAAGAGAGTTTTGAAACGGTCTAGATTTTAAGGCTTGTAATTATTAGTTATGAAAGTAAGTATTTTGAAAGATAGATGCTAGAGTAATTTTAAGAGTTGTTTCTAAGAAAATAATTTTTAAATGTACCTTGGTTTTCAAGAGATTCTGAAGAAGGGAGTCTTTGAAAATTCATTTGAGACGACAGTACCTTATTGCTTTTATGAGAAAATTGATTGCATTCCATGTTAGTAAAATCCAACGATTCTTTTTTGATTTTCTTTCGAAAACGGGTTGCTATTTTTTTTTATTAAAGGCCCGAGCTTCAAAAATCTTAATGAAAAGGTGAGTATACAAAATGAGCAAACTATAATTAACAGGGACAAAGATTAATTACTAATTAATTTCCTTAAGTCCTATATTAGTTAAAGTTTTCCTATGTTTCATGTAATGTTAGAGCATGAAAGTAAAATGCACAATCTAATATATGAGTGTTAAATATATGAGAACAAAATATGATAAACAAGGAAGGCAGTGAGCGAAAAATAATAAAGCCAGTAAACTAAGCTATGAAAATAATGAACAATAACGAAAGAAGTAGGGAGAGAGGACTGGACTCTGATAATTGGGCCTCAATAAGCAAATGCAGGGTCTAAGAGACCAAATGCAGCATGATATGGTGTGCTATTTGCTTCAAGTGGCACTGTGATACAAAGAGTAAATATTTTCACTTAATTACACAATCAACATATATGGTTTACTAGATAATCCCTCACTCACAATCTTTTATCGTTGTGCTGTCTG